GGTGGGGGGCGGGGAGGAGGGGATGTGGGGCTGGGGAGAGGGGCAGCTTCTTGGCTGGGGAAAGGGGTTGCTCTTTGGTGTTCTGCTTGCCTGCAGGCGGGCTTTATTTCCTCCCCCAGCTGAACATCTGTTGTGTCATGGCAACTCACTCATGTAAATTGCCATGAGTTAGATTAGGGACCTGAACATCTGTCAGTGCCCTTGATGTCACTTTCAGTACTCACTATAACATTGTTCAGTCCATTGTATTTACCTCCCATTTAAATGTCATTTATTGTCTAAATCATTTCACATTTGTAATCTGCATGGTTTGAGAACCATCTTAGTTAAGTGTTTTGCTTTGTATTACATTTTGTCTTCTCCTGTCTTCACCCTGTTTCTGTCTTTCCTTGCATGCTCAGTACCAAAACTTTTTTTTCAAGAAACTGATGACAAAACTCACTTTCATTTTGACATGGATGAAGATCAAGTCACCAAAATGTTTCTCCAGTCATGTTAATTCAAGCCTTGACATGTCTGCCACTCACATCCATAGAAAGCTACATGTACAGAAAAGTTCTGCCCTACTAGAAAGTGGTGGGCCCTCTGTTCAAAAGATGTTGCTGCCTGTGATTAAAAAGCCCTTTGTGGATTATCCTTTCATGATGATCCAGTCAAATACTCACACCAGGACTGTGGATATGAAAGCTGTTAAGAAATGGAAAAGCCTAAAAGTAGAAAGGATACCTGCCATTCCTGGCTTTCTAGTGTGCAATAAGCTATTACTGACTGTAAGTTTATAGTAATTTTTAGCACTTCTTTAATCCATAGATTGTAAAGTGCTTTGTTGAGGTGAATAAGCATTATTATCCCCATTTTAGATGCATACTAAGTGGCTTGACTAAAGGGACACAAAATCAATGGGTGGATCAGAAGGAAAATTCAGGTCTCAGAGCTCCTAGTAAAATGTGAGATCCATTTTCTTATGCTGCTTTACTATTGTCAATGCTACTGGCATAAAAAATGATAACAGTAATAGCACAGTGTTCTTAGCTTTGAGGTTTATTAGCAAGGCTACATCCTGATCAAAAGTAAAGTTCAGTTACTAATTTTTGTAAAATTGAAATGCAGAAAATTATTCCCTTTAAACTGTAAATAGAAAAATATTGAAGGGAATATTTTTGCCTTATACAGCCAGGCTACAGTAATAAATATGGCATTTTTAATTTTCTTTTCTTAACATTTTATATTTTTTACTAGCAGACAGTGAAATTTGGATCACTGATGTCATCTTAGAAATTTGCCAGTAAGGATAAGAAGGATAAAAATCAAGATAATAAATCTAATAAGTCAGAAATCTTTAATCCTGTTCATGACTAATATACAAAGACTAGAAATAGTCATAATGAAAACCAGTATAGTTGTATGAATCCTAAATGTAAAGAGCAATTTGAACATTCTTTGTATAATGATTGGGCTTATGTATATTAAAATGTATATTTCATATACACAGAAAACTACATAGTAGCTTGGTGTATATCTTCTGTAAAAATGCTTTTCTACTTTGATGTTGGCAGTGTCTAGTGTCCCCCTGACAAGGCTTCCTTCTTTCCTTAATGCCTCTGTAGTTCTCTTTAAGTGTTCAACACATCTTCAACAAGCTATTCCTCAAGTAGCCCTATCTGTTTGCATCCTTCCTTTGCTTTCAAATGAACAGTGCCACGTTAAAGAAATTTCAACCGCTGCATTTTGGACACTCAAAAGGAAAGGGTTAGCAAAACAAAATCATCTGCTGCCTTAGAAGCATCCTCATTAGTACTTAATAAACTGCTGTACCCTTTTGTTTCAATGCTTGTTTAGTTCTTATGTGAATTCTTTTATTTCTGCAGCTTGAGGATCCTGCCATTAGGTGGCAGATGGCCCTTTACAAAGATTTACCAAACAGGACGGAAAATACCTCTGATCCAGAGAAGACAGTGGAAAGAGTTCTTGATATAGCTAATGTACTTTTTCACCTGGAACAGGTTAGACTTTTCTTTTTCATAGCAGCAAGTGTTTAGAATTGCAGGCAATATGTCACAGTATTAACCAAGGATTTTTGTTTGTTTGTTTTTAATAATGTTTTTTTCTCCCTGGGGTTAACCCTCCTTATGGTGTGGCCCTTATCTTAATAGACAGAAAACTTCATGATTCTCTCACTGTTTGTTACAACATCAACAATTGCTTAACTGGAAAAGTAGTAAGAAGCCTGACGAAGGGTGTTTGTGCCTGAAAGCTTGCAAAGAAGAATTTTTCCAACTATTTGAGTTGGTCCCAAAAAGGAATATTGGATTTACTCAGAGAACCTTCTCTGCCTATGTCCTTAGATCAACATGGCTACAATCTATACCCCTGAAAGCAGGTGTTTTGAAATTTTAAATCTGTTGTAGTGTCATTTAGCTAGCACCATGTAATCACTTAGCTCTCTGTACCATCTCTATTGCTGCTGGTTTGCCATAATTTTAAGAAGACTAGATTAAATAATAAAATATACAATTTAATAGCAAATATTTGGGCAATTTGAAAACAATTATGTTGCTGTTGTTGTTGTTAGTATTGTTGCTATTATTATTATTATTATTATTATTATTAATAAATCTGGCCATTCAAATGTCATACTGTAGTTGTAGCAATCTAATTACTGTAAATTGGTTTTAAAAATGGCATTTAATGAAGGAACAAAAGTGAAGAATACTTACAAAATGAGCCTGAGAAAAAATGTCCACATTTAAAAGGTAGAAAATGGCTTGTATTGTCTACATTTAAAAGGAAGAAAACAGTTGCTCATCTGGAAAGATTGACAACACTAGCTATGTTCTGATAATCGGTTGTACAGCAAAGTATGAGTCAACAGGTAGGTTTTAAATTCACTCTGGCTGGTACAGAGATGCAAGCTGCAGTTATAAGTGCTAGTCTGACCATCTGCCATCATTTCTGCCAGAGTCTTTCATTTCTCTCAGGGCATATACAGATGCTACACTTAGTGACCCAACTAGGGTTCAGCTGACTTAAGTCCTGAACTGTGCACAGGTTCTGGGACGTTTCATCAAGCAAAAAAATGGCCATCTGATCTAATTTAGTTCATCCACTTGCAGACTTGACACTTAGAGTGAAAACAGACATTGTCCAACTTTAAACATTTTTAAGATGACACAAATGCTTAGAAAATAGACGTCCTTACCCTTCATTGTGCCACATGACAGGAAAATCAGTGGCATGACAAAAGATAGTAATAGACTCTACCACTTTATTGTTGCTGACATCTATTGCCTTGTGGCACTTTCCCTGCTTAGCCAGCCCCAGGGTTCTTGAGCAGTGAGGAAAGCAGGGAAATCATATTGCCCCTTGCTCCTCACCATCAAGGGCCGGACAAGGGGCAACATGTGTTTTGCCCAGTAAAGCAGATCAGTTATGCTGTGACATACCATGGCACAGCTGATTTGGTGGTGTCTATTTCTAGTCTTAGATGGACCTAACAACAGTAAGGTTGATCTAAGTGATCTGTACAGTTTCCAGAAGGTTAGATCAGGCAAAAAATGGCCCACCCAATCTAACTTTAGTTCACCTAGGAGATGAACTACCTAGACCGGATTAACCTATACCTGATCTTACCTGAACATGTGTACCAGCTCAGCCCTAGATGGACAACCTCCCCAAACCCCTCCTGTGAACCCATTAACTACCTCCACCTTGACTTAAATCATGTTCCAGGCACAGCTCCCAATACCAGCAAATGTGTACATACACGGGACCTGATCTATGATCCATGTGGCTTAAAGTGAGCCACATGATTGTAAATGGGATCTGAGGAACCATATGTACATGTTCAAATCATGGTCCCAGGGATGGAAAAGCCCAGCTGTTCATAGCACAGTGTCAGGGGTCTGTTTTTCTTCCTCTTCCCTGCTTGACTTGGCTGTCATTAGCTGTTCCCCCTCTCCCCCCCCCCCCAAA